GCTCAGTTGGATGGGCATCTGCCTTTGGCCCAGGTCATGATCCCAGAGTCCTGGAATTGAGCCCCACATTGGGCTCCCCACCCAGTAGGGGGTCTGTTTCTCCCTCTCCCTCTGCCTCCACCCCCCTGCTCATGCTCTGTCTCTGTCTCTCTCTTTCAAATAAATACATAAATAATATTAAAAAAGAAAAGATCTCAACACAGTTGTGTGTTCCAGATGGTAATCAGTTGTTTTGCAACTGGGATCAACTTCTCTGTTGAGATTTGAGGAAAACCCAATAAGTAAATATGCTTATTCCTGTCAGGTTTGGAGGAGTTGCAGGAGAAAGACAGATGAGGATCAACAAATGAACTAATTGAAGTGCAGACCTGAACACATTCTGCAGGCAAGGCTGTGGGGGTGGTAGAGAGAAAGAAGAGTATGGTTAGTTAGCTCCTCTTCTCAAACCCATTAGGCAGATAAGTCTCGCTTATTACTCTTCCAAGTGAATGCCTGGGTTGCAAGAGGGAGAAGTATTCCCCTGTGGGCCTTGGACTGGTAGCGTCAGTGTTACCTGGGAACTTTTAGAAATGCAAATTCTAGGTCCAACTCCCAGAAAAATTGAATCAAATTTTAGGAGTGGGGCCTAGCAATCTGTGTGCTAACAAACTCTGAGATGATTCTAATGTAGGCTCAAGGTGAGAACCACTGGTTGAGTGGAAGCTGTTCCACATGTAAATATGAGACCTGGGAAGAAGTGTCCTTATGGAACATTTTGTAACTCATGCCTTCCCTTCTCCCCATCCCTGGGAAAATGAGTCACAGAGGTAGAAGTTTCACACTTTCCATGTTTGATTTTTAGCTTACAGCTGCTCCAGTGAGTACCAAGTAGAGGCTCCTGATTATCTCCCCTCCAAAAAAGAAAAATGTCATGGGCTTGGTATTTGCTGGCCTTGTCTCTTGCTCTTGCAGACCTTGGAGGGTCTAGCATCCCCTTGTTGGCACTGAATAGTTTCTGAAGATGCTAGAATGACCAATAACCAGAAGTCAAAGTGGAAACACATGGCTCTCCCTACAGAAAATTCTGTGGCTCCCCATTGAACTTAGATTTCAAAATAAACTCCTTTCCAAAGTCTGTCCCACTCCGACTGCGTCTCACATCTTGTCACTCTGGCCTCCCTACTCTCCCTGTAATATGCCAAGCTCACTTCTGCCTCAGGACCTTTGCACTGGCTGTCCTGCTGCTTGAAGAACTCTTTCTTCAGATCTTGGCATGCCTGGTTCCTTCTTGTCCTTTAAATCTGAACCCAAATGTCACCTTTGATGACTGATTTAAAGTGCCCTCAACCCCACTTGTCATTGTTTATCTCATTACCCTTGTTTATTTTCTTCGGAGCACTTGACACTATCAAAAAATGATCTCGTGTGTTTATTTGTTGACTTATTATCTGTCTCCCCCTCCCTGGAATCAGGGATCAGAGATCAGGGACCTTAACTGTATTCCTAGCACCAGAACAGTTCCTGGTATATTGCAGGCATAAGATTTACATAAATATTTTTTGAATAAATGAATAAATGAATGAATAAGTGAACATAGGAAAAGCTTTAGGAGAGAAGGATCAGAGTGCAGTGATTCATTCATTCATCAAGATGGCGATGGGCCCAAAGACTCTGCCTTCCTCTTCCCAAGGACAGGGGCACGGAGCCCAGCTGAGTGGGTCTGGAGTCAGCACTCCAGACTCCCTGCCTGCTTCTCCTCTAGCCCACTGTCTTAGGCCCGGCTCCCCCTTCTCCTCCCCCTTCCCTCCCTCCACCTCACTGTCATTACATTACAGTCGTTAGAAGCCTGCAGATTCACACCCTCCTGTCGACTTTTTCATAAAGGAATGTTAATGGAGTTGGTCTTCAGCAGGGCCAACTCTGACTTGGCCACCCACATTCATGTAATTAATCACACAGGAAACCAGAAAAGGGCGGCATGAGGGCTGGGCCTGGCCGTGTGGTGGCCCTCTTCCCGGAGAAGAGGATGGTATAACACACAGCTGCTGCCCACCAAGAGCCCACATGTCAGGTTGGAAGCAAGACAACCCAACTGGAACCACTACAGAGGAGTCCAAGCCAGGATCCAATCCGCCCTGGGGTGGGGAGGGTCTCCTCCACCTTCAAGAGGGTACCAAGGAAAGGAAATTAAACAGATAAAGTAGGAGCTAGAGGGAGAAATAAGGTTAAAGATGGTCTCTTCTAAAATAATAAGGAAGCTGGCATTCATTGAGTACTGTATTGGTTATCTATTGCCATGAGACAAATTGCCATACACCTGTTGGCTTACACACATTCATTATCTCACACATTCATTGTCTCTCAGTTTCTGTGGGTCAGGAATCCTGTAACAGCTTAGCTTAGCTGTGAGACCTCACAAGGCTGCAGTCAAGGTGTCAAGCAGGACTGGGTTCTCATCTGGAGGCTCAACTGGAGAAGGACCCCCTCCCCTGCTTCTGTGATTGCTGCAACACTCAGTTCCTTGTGGTTGTAGGACTGGGAGCTTTAGTTTTTTGCTGGCTGTTGGTCTGCGGCCATCCTCAGCTCCTAGAGACTTACTACAGTTCCTTGCTATGTGAGTTTCCCAGCTTGGCCTCTTCATCAAGCCAGCAAAGTCTCTAGAGCAAATCAAGTGGCAAGATGGGGTTTTATAGATCATTACATAATCACAGAGGTCACAGCTCATCTCTTTTGCATCATTCTATTGGTTAGAAGCAAGTCACAGTTTCTGCCCGTATTTAAGAAGGGATCATACATGGATATGGACACCAGCGGTGGGGGGTATCAAGAGACTGCCACGTAGAGGATGCCCACCACAGTACATATTAGGTGTTAAGGACTGTGCCAAATGCTCTTGCACATATTATATCATTTATTCACTAAAACAACCTGTAAGGTGAGCAGCATCCCATTGCACAGGGGAGGACTCAGAGGAGAGAACTTGCCCAAGGTCCTGCAGACATTAAGATCAGAACCACCTATATCATAGCACCAAGCCACTCTGTGCAAGCTTAGAGGGCTGAAAGATTTGCATCTTTGCATTGAGGAGCAAGAGCCCGAGGGAGGCAGAGGAAGGGGGTCGCAAGTGTGTTCTAGCTCCCTGTGAGACTTGAAACAAGGAAGAAGGGATGGGTGTGGATTACATGTTGAGAAAGAAGAAAACTGAGAGCACTTATGTTTGATGATCTCTGTTTTCTCAATAAAACAGAAAATGAGGGCATCTCCTGAGAGAGTGGGGATTGGGATGGAGGGGAAGCAGAGCCAAGTTGGAACAACAGCTGTAGGGAACAGGGAGTGGGAAACAGGAATCTTGCCAGCACCAGTACAAGGTTGCCAAATAGGATAAAGCTGCTTCCTCCTTGAAGACTTCAAAGGTCTCCTGGGTAGGGGGTACCCACTCCCGCCCCCTGCACTCCGTGTAGCTTGCACTTTCATCATGCCTTGTAGTGCTGTAGTTTATGCCCACATCCATCTCATCAGAAGGGAAGTTCTTGCGGGTCAGGAACCTGACCATAGTCTATGCAGGGGCCTGCCGGTAACCAACACAGGATCTGGTACATGTGAGTCTTCCATAAATGGCCTGACTCAGATCTTGAATTTCTAAATCACTCCACTGTTATCACCTTCTATTCCCTAAAATCTCTCCAGTTCTAGACTTTTCGAAGGATGTATTTTTACTTTTGTTTTGAGAGTAAAAGTTCAAATAGCAGTAGAGGACAAAGTCTAAGTCCATCCTGGAATAAGAATGGAGATTGAATTAGGGAAGTCTGTTGTATGCATAACGTGTTGACAAAAAAGCAATTTTGCATTTTGGCCCAGTCTTTTTGATTTCGAGAAGTCAAGAGCCATTTCAAAATATTCCATACCAACGTATATTGATTGATATGAAGCATTGCTCATGGTATGTTGTTGCCTGAAAAATACAGCACAGACACAGAACAGTCCCATTTGTGTCAAATTACCACTTTTGTCTCATTTTAAGTGGCAGAACCCTAACTCAAACTACCTTAGACAAAAGAAAGAAAGAAAGAAACAAACAAACAAACAAACAAACAAACATTGTGGGCTCATTTTCAACGAAAAGTCCAAGACTATACTCTGATGCCAAAGGGACTAACATTTTGGCCCAAGAATGAGGTAGATGGCTTGCAGCAGCCTCGGGGCAGGGCTCTCCCCTAGGACCTCTTGCACAAGTCCTGTGGTCCACTCTGATTGAACCACCCTGGGTCACATGCCTGTAACCAAACCAATCAGTGTGACCAGGGGACTTCAGAGGTGGGTGCTGTGAACAAGAGGAGAAGGAGTGAATGCCGGGTGGTCATAAAGGCACTAAATGTCCACTCCATGTGTTCTATGCTTCTAACCACAGACAAATGATTGGGTGGATGGCCACCAAAGCCATGACAGGGTTTTCTCCAGGATATAGGACTTGAGCAGAGTCAGATGCCCATGTTTGTAAAATCAGCCCTGTGTTTCATCCTCACCAGAGCAGGGACCACCCCTGGGGTCTCCTGCTGGCCCGCTGATGATACCTAAGTCTCGCTGGAGGAGCAGTTCTGGAATTAACTGTAGAAACTGAGTCCCCCTCAACTCCAGTTTGCCAACGTCTGCTGGGGCCTCAATTGGGGGCCTGATCTGAACTCCAGGCCTTCTGGCCATGCCGGTGAGGATGATGGCAGGACTGGCATTCATGCACCTGACCCTGAGGAGGGTCTTCCACCCTAGATAACCACTTGCAACCAGGATGCCCCTACCTCTGTGATTTCCACTTTACACCTGGAGACTCCCATTCCACCTGCCCAAGCCAAGCCCTGTAGCTACTGACCTCAAACACTGCCTTAGACCCGTTTGCCCTTCTTTCAAAGCCAGCTCTCCCCAGGATCAGCTTCCAACCCCAATCTCAACCGCCACCCCACTCACTTCCTCAAAGCGGCACCAGCCGTCGCTGCGCTCACACGACACAAGAGACCAGTGACGGGCAATATAGTTGAATGGCATTTTATTTCTAATTGGATCCATCAGCTTTGTCCGAGTCAGTTTTCCCCCTATGCTGGTTCTTAGCCGACCCTTGGAGGCCCTTCCTGGCATTACGTTGTTTACGGTAGATTTCCAACTCCTCTTGGTATTTGGCTCTCAGGAGAGCTGCCTTTTGCTCATACGGCTGCTTTTCAGCATCTGTTTTTGCCGACCACATCTTCCCCGAGGCCTTTGCCACCTGCACTACTGACCAGTTCGGATTCTCCCTCTTCAGCTGAGCATAGTGGTCTTGGCAGAAGAGCAGGAAGGATGATGGGGGGCGTCTGGGCGCCTGGGGGTCCCGCTTTCTCCGCTTCTTCTTCTTGCCAACATAATTCATCATCTCTTCCTGGTACCGGGCTTTGTCGAGCTTGGCCAGGGCTTCATATTTGGCCTTTTCATGCTTTGAGATGGACCTCCATTTTTCTGAACACTTTCTAGAGAACTCTTTAAAGCCAAGGTAGGTATTTGGCTGCTGCTCCTTGAACTTGTTCCTGTAATTCAAAAAAAAGTGGATGTAAGAAGAGACATTTGCCTTGGGCCTTAGCTGGATTTCTTTTCCCATGTTCATAAGGTCATTTTTTTTTTTCTGGATTCAGTAACTTGGACAGCAGAGACTTCTGTCTCCACACTCCAGGAGCAATCTAGAAGGTGCTCTGCTTGCGGTGAATTTTTCCCTCTGCAAGAGCTATGGTCAGGGATCAGCCTTTACAGCGGTGGTGGCATTATTGAGTCAGAGGAGGGGACTGTGACATCATTCACCAGCCTGTGGCATTTGCATACAGCTCCTCTTGTTGGTTGGCTACCTGAGGGTCCATTTCTGCTTCTCGTATGAGATGGTGGTTCATCCAGAGGAGGCTTGAGAGCAGCCACTTCCCCTGGAATATTTCTCCTTGACTTCCTGGAGGCAATGGGCTTTGCCCGACTATGGGAGCTTTCAGTCCCTCGGAAGTAGTAATGAGCAGTGGGGTCCGCCTTCCTCACCGTAAGATTGCCAAGATGCCTCATGATCCCTTCCAAAGTCAGGATGGAAATAATGAATGTGAGGAGGTGGATGGCTCCAGAGCTGTCATGATAAAATGTGAAGTCTTTCTGTTTGCCTTGAATGGTGGCAGCTCATGCCGTTCAAAGAGTTTAGTAGTAACTCTAAAAATAATCAGGTATGACAGCCGTGACTCGGTTCCTGTCAGGACAAAGTTGTCTAATTTAAAACCTGAGCACGTGGGCTATGTACATCTGAACTCTTCATTTCTCTGAAGAAACTGGGGTGAGGTGGGCGGAGCGAGGAGAACCTTGAGGGTTTTACTCATTGCACTTGAGTCCGCGAAAATGGGGTCAAATCCTTGGCCTGTCAGGAGGCTTCCCTGCTCTCATCTCTGGGGTCCCTGGCTCTCGGGGTTAGAATAGAGAGCTCTAATGGCTACACTCAAACTAGTTGGCTTCTGACTTTTTGTGGAAGCTGTTACCCCTATCCTACTAGTCTTCCAACTGAAGGAAAAAGAAAAGACAATAAAAGTGTCATCTTGTGACCTTTGGACACTCTGAGGGCCTTGCTTGTGTGGGACTGGAGTTAATACAACTCGGTGGTTGATGATAGTGCCAAATTTATAGGACTAGAAAATGGAGCCTCAGGGCGCCTGGGTGGCTCAGTTGGTTAAGCGACTGCCTTCGGCTCAGGTCATGATCCTGGAGTCCCGGGATCGAGTCTCGCCTCGGGCTCCCTGCTCGGCAGGGAGTCTGCTTCTCCCTCTGACCCTCCCCGCTCTCATGTGCTTTCTCTCTCTCATTCTCTCTCTCTCAAATGAATAAATAAATAAAAATCTTAAAAAAAAAAAAGAAAGAAAGAAAGAAAGAAAGAAAATGGAGCCTCATCAGCAGAAAAATTAGGGTAAAATACCCGAACAAGTGGGAGTCTGAATTTGGACTGATGTGCTTAATGCAAGCCTGTGGTTCTTGCTGCATCCTCAGACCCGGCACCTCGAGGGCCGGTGGCTCTGGTGTGCAACTTTAGCAACTGAGCTGGACAGGGAAACTCGCCTAAGACTAGACCACTTTTCCAGGGCTTCCAGTCCACTCCCAAGCCTCCAAGACTGACTTCAACTTCCATCTTCTGTAAAAGAAAGATGGAAATTGATGAGAGTCACCAGTCCTGAATTCGAGCCCCAGCTCTGCCACAAGGCGGCTGGGTTACCGATGCTAGCCTCTTCCTTCCTGTAAGCCTCTGATTTCATGTCTGTAAAATGGGTGCTTTGGCCTGGCCAGGAAGGACCCTCCAGATGACGTGCTGTAGCTTTGTGGCTGCATTTAGAGGCCTGTAAGATCTCGGATGCCAGCCGAGGAAGTCTGGGCTAGTGGTGGGGCAGAGGGGTCTGGCCAGGGGGAACAAATTAGTCTGAGAACATTTCTCAACATGGTTAGCTTTTTTCACTCTGTTCTTTCTCCCAAGGGCCAGGGGTTGGCTCGCCTGTTTGTTGGATTTGAGCTGGATTGCCAAGGTCAATAAGACTTAGCTCCTTTCCGAGATGGAAGGACGGGTTAGAAGGAAGAATTTGGCCGATGTGTATAGATATGAATTAGACTCTGCTCAGTCTCATAAAACCCCCAGCAGCTCATTGTGCCTCCGTTCATGACCTTCTACCCTTCTCATGATGAAAACATCCAGAAGGATTAACCCTATGAGAATCATCTGGAGCCTAGCTGGTCTAGAAAGATAAGGTAGTAAAAGGTATAAGTTATGGCCACCCTGTGGTGTTTGGGCCACACTCTCGCCTTGGAGGGATGAAGTAGGGGAACTGTCTGGAGAACCTTCGGGAGGGTCAGTATTGGCTGGCTAAGTCAATGCTATGTGCCCTAGTAGCTGAGGCTTTCCAACCTTCTCCACTCTGTTCTGTGCCCTGGGAAGCTGACCCATATGGACCACATCAATGGGTCTCATGCCCTGTGGCTTCCATTTCAGTTTGGTCACTGTGGACCCCAACAGTAGATCAGGGAGAGAGGAAGGTGACCCCAGGGCATTTATTCTCCTGGCTTCCTCCTTAAGAGGTCACTTGGAGCTGGCCTCTCAGGCCCTGGACCGAAGGTGTTGGCTCCTATTAAGTTGTCCTTTCTAAATGACTGGCTCCTTCCAGGTTCAGGAATTGAACCCTCTCCTTGTCCCCTCTTGCCAAGGGTAGTAAGAGCTCTGTTTTTACTCTGCTATCCCTTGTGGCTTTCCTACACCTTCCCCTTCCCTTTGTAGATAGCCTCTTTATTAAACACTCTTCAAATTATTCTCATTTGAGTGACCATCTGGTTTCTGCCGGGACACTGACCAATGTACCTTGTTCCTCGCTTTCCACCATGAACAGCCATGGAGGTGGATAAATAAAGCAAGCATGGGCATCGGTCCAGGGTAGAAGGGTATTGAGCTTCTCGAGGCCCGAGGACCCAGCAGGCTCACAGCCTAGAATGTTCTGCAGGGGTAAGTGTGCCTGCCAGAGCAGTAGCAGAACGGGGCCACGTGGCCTCCACAGGAGGCATTTAATATCCCTTGTATTATAAGATAGCCTCTAGGCAGGAGCGTTGGTCTAGAGAGCCAGATAAGAAAGATTTCCAGCTTTGTGGGCCATATGGTTTTTATTGGACGTACTCAACTCTACCATTGTAGCTCAAAAGTAGCCATAGACATGGGGTGCCTGGGTGGCTCAGTCGTTAAGCATCTGCCTTCGGCTCAGGTCATGATCCCGGGGTCCTGGGATCGAGCCCCACATCGGGCTCCTTGCTCCGCGGGATGCCTGCTTCTCCCTCTCTAGCTCCCCCTGCCTGTGTTCCCTCTCTCGCTGTGTCTTTCTCTGTCAAATAAATAAATAAAATCTTTAAAAAAAAAAAAAAGTAGCCATAGACAATACATACACCGATGAGTGTGGCCGTGCCCGCGATAAAACTTCACATAAACAGGCAGGTGCCTGGAGGTCATAAACTGCTGACATCCCAGTCTAAAGCTGTGAGTTCAGTGTTTTCTAATTTGTTCATTGCAGTTTACAATAAGAATTACATTTTACATCATGACCTGTTTGTGCACATGTGTACTTCATAATATTTATATAATACGTACTGTGTGCCCGTCTCTGTTCTAAGCGCTTTACATTTATCAATTCATTTAATCTTTATAACAACTGTGTGGGTGTGTTGGGGGCAGTGCCATTTTTTTAAAAGATTTATTTATTTATTTTAGAGAGAGAGCAAGCACGGGGCAGGGGAGGGGCCGAGGGAGAGACAGTCTCAAGCGGACTGCTCTGAGCACAGAGCCTGATGCAGGGCTCGATCTCATGTCCCTGCGATCACGCCCTAAGCTGAAATCAAGAGTAGGATACTTAACCAACTGCACCACCAGGTGCCCCTGGGCGGGGGCGGGAGAGCGGTTATTTTTATCCCTATTATAAAGATAAAGGTCTCTAAACACAGAGTTTACAGAAACAACATGATAACACATTATACTTACTATGTGTGTGATGTACTCTTTTCTGTTCTATTCTGTTATGGTCCGTTTTGTTATTCAAAGTGCAACCTGCAGACTGATCGCATGACCCACTATGGGTTACAATCCATGGACTGAGTTGGAAAACACTATCCAGGCAAGCCGAGGGGGAGCTCTCACCTTGGACACTGTGAGATCCTCTTGATTTAGCAATGATGCCATGAAATGGAAAAAACATGGTCTTGGGAGTCAGACAGACATGAATTCAAATTCTAGCTTTGCCACTTAGGCTCTGGGGGGTCCCTCCTTACAACCTTGTCAATAAAGAGCAGTGAGGTGGTAACAAAGCTGTGGGGAGGAACTAACTGAAGTGATGGGAATAATGGAGCTGGCACCCCCCTACCGTGTGGGCAGGATGTAGGAACTCACTTCTAATGAATAGTGTGTAGAAAAGGACAAATTGTATCTTTCCAGTGGAGGAAGCTGGCAGATACCACCCTAACCAATAATGGTATTCTTCCTCCAATTCCATAACCCCTCGTCTAATCATGAGAAAATATTAGACAAACCCAAATTAAGGAGTATTCTACAAAACACTTGACTAGTACCCTTCAAAAGTGTCAAGGTCCTGAGGAAGCAAGGAAAGCCTGAGAAACTGACGCAGATTAGAGATCAAGTAGACTCGATGTCTCAGTGCTCTGGGAGGTGCTGGACTTGATGCTGGACCAAGAAAAAAGGCATTAGTGGAAAGACTGGGGAAATCTAAATGAAGTCTTCCATTGGGCTAACAATACCGTACCAATGTCGACTTTTGGATACATGTACCACGGTCATGTAAGATGCTAATGTTAGAGGAAGCTGGGTGATGGGTCTATAGGAAATTTCTATACTATATTTGCAACTTGCAACTCTATTCTTGTTTCAAAATAAAGTCTTTCAGAAATCTCCCTCGCTGACAGTGATGTGCACCCAGAGTTGAGATACCCTGCTCTTGATCCATCTCCTCCAGAAATCGCTGGGCAGATTTGACCCTCAATTGTAACAACATGTGCTCTTGGCGTGTCTTCTGTCACAGTGTTCCCCGAATTGCAGGGCATGCTGGAACCACCTGAGGAGCTTTCAAAAATCCCAGTGCTCAAGGGTATTATATAAGACTGATGAATCACTGACCTCTACCTCTGAAACCAATAATACATTATATGTTAATTAATTGAATTTAAATTAAAATAATAATAATAATGATAAAAA